CATTGGCTAGTAAGCGGGCTGGGGAGGAGGGGCTAGGTAGGTATTTAGGAACAAGCGTGGAAAGATCACACTCTCTCTCCTGGCTCCTGCCCTGTTGCTCTGGCCTTGCTGCTTGGGCTTGCTGTGATGGCCTCTGAATAAAGCTCTGGTGTTGGCGCCTCCCGATGGCTCGTCTCTGTGTGTTTATCCGGTTGAGGACTGAAGACTCGGAAGTGAGTATGACTCTGGTAGCCTGCTCCTTATAGGAGGAGAGGGTACGGCGTGCGGCCGGCAGAAGGTCGGCGCGCGGCCAGTACAAGAGACTCTGGCTGCTTTCCTCACAGCTGAATGGTAGGACTTTATTCCAAAAGAAAGTAAAAGTCAAAAGTAGCAGGGATGTTAAAAGTGATGCTAGCTATGATTTTTCTCACAACTAAAACACTGTAAGTAATTATTTTATGTCTTCGTGTTCGTATGCATTATATTCTTAGTTTGTTTATTCAGTAATTGTACAGGCATGCTATTCGAGCTTAAAAGATAAATAATGAGAGATGAACAACTGCCTATGGGAAAAAAATCTTTGTAAGTTTAAGTAAATGATATTTAATAACCTGGGGTGATGGTTCTGATAACTGTTTAATGAGTAAGAAAGGTGTTTCGATTTTATTTCTTTTTTCTTTTTTTTTGGCTAGGCAATGGGGTTAAGTGACTTGCCCAAGGTCACACAGCTAGTAAGTGTTATGTGTCTGAGGTCAGATTTGAACTCAGGTCCTCCTGAATCCAGGGCTGGTGCTCTATCCACTGAGCCACCTAACTGCCCCTGATGCGCCACCTAGCTGCCCCTTTCAATTTTCATAGTTAATAAGAACATATTCAAACAAAAATCTAGATTTTCTTAGAATTTGGGATGATGAAAATAAATAGGGTAACATGTCCAATAGCAGGCTGAAAATCTACCCCATGTAGATAACATGTCAAAATGTTAACCCCTAAATCCCATTACATTTCTTTAAATAGTTCAAGATTGGAGTTTTAATTATATGTCATTGCTTTTTCTCACTGTTATTCTTTCTTGATTTTTACTAATTCTGATCTTAACTCTGTGGAGTCAATGGTCTTGTTGTACACAGAAAACTGGAACATAACTTCCATATCAATAACAAGTCTTGTCTGTTAATTAAAATGTTATCTCTGTGTGTACATGCATGTATACATACACATATACATATACAAATTTACACAAGCATACACACCATAAAATATTGTCTCTGCATGTATATGTATGTGCAGGTATTCACATGTACATATATACATGTATATGCACAAGATACACACATACCATAAAATACTGTATCTGTGTACATGTATATATACGTATACATAATACATGCATATACACACTAATGCATAGACATAAATATGGCTATAGATATGGATATACAGATATGATGTCATTTAGTTCCCAACATGTCCAGAGTCTCCCTCAGAAATTATCCCCATGTTTCCCATCTCCCTCCCCTTCCTTTTCTTCCCTTCCATTACCATTCCTACTCCCTGCCAACAGCAGCAGAAGAGAGATCTTACGGTAACCCTGGCATCTCTATGTCAGCCATGTCAACTTCTGTATTTGTCTTTTCCCAACTAACCATGAAAGCCATTCTCTTAAGTACAGCTCGAACACAGGATCAAATACATACTTGCTTCTGACAAAGAACTTGAAAGTTTAAAAAGCTCTCAGCTTATACTAGAAATTGTTTTCCAAGAGTATAATCATCTTAAGATCATAGATTCCAACCTGGAAGGGCCCTCCAAAGTCATCTAATTCATCTCTCTCTTTACAAAACAGGAAACCAAGGTCCAGAAAGGGAAAATAACTAAAGTGATTTGCCCAAGGCCACACAGACAGTGTGAGCTGGGATGAAAAGCGAAGTCCTCCAACTCCAAATGCGTCAATCTTCTCAACACACCTCACTACCCGAGGCCTTCCCTCCAGTATTTCTTCCAGGACAAAATACGATTCAGAAGTAAAGACAAGAATGAGCTGTGACATCATTATCATGGGATGCTTCCACTTATAGGGATGCCCTCCATGAATGCAGTCGTCATCCTGTTTATAACTTAGTAACTCCTATCATTATACTCTGGGCACAGTGACACAGTGGATAGAGTGCCAGGCCTAGAGTCAATCCCTCTACCCAAGCATATCTGCCACCTCCTCCTGGAACATTTAGAGGTTAAGTCACTTGCCCATGATAACACAGCTAAAATATGTCAGATTTAGGACTCGAGTTCAGGTCTTCCTGACTCCGAGGCTGGCACTCTAATAAATGCACCCCAATGCCTCTCTCCCTGGCTTCTTCTCACTCAACTATGCTGCTTGAAAACCAATCAGAATTGGCTTCTGTTTAAGATGGCTGTTTGAACAGAAGCAGCAGCCTAACTCCCATACACATCTACTTTGGTAACAACCTAAAAATAGCAACAGAGTTAATAATGATCAAGAAATCTAATGAGAAACTACAGTAAGTAACTTTGTCCACCCTGAGAAATGCACAAAAAGATAAGCCAGAAGCCTATAGCGTGGTAAAGGAGGGGCCACCAAAAAACCCCGCATCAGAACGAATACCCTATACCACATGCCAAGGCAATCTCCAAACAGGTACTTGCCTCAGACATAAAGGGTGACATTACAACAATTTGAAGGAGTAAAGAAGACATTATCTTTCAGATCTATGGAAAGGGTAACAGTTCATAACTGAACAAGGGAAAGAGAAGATTATAAAAGGTGAAGTAGAAAATTTTAATCACATAAAAAGAAAATTTTGCACAAGCAAATCCAATGTGGCTGACATTAAAAGGGAAATGGTTAACAAGAAGAAAAAAAAATCTTTACAGCCTGTTGTTCCACAGCCCCTCCAACAATGGCCATTTTTCATTTTTTGCTGTCTTGGCCAATCTGATGTGAGTTCAACTCCATTTTTCTTTTCTTTTTTAAAGAGGATAATGCAAAATTTGAAAAAAAAATTCAATGTATTATCTTTAGCATATTTTTTTTGGTTAGGCAATGGGGTTAAGTGACTTGCCTAGGGTCACATAGCTAGTAAGTGTTATGTGTCTGAGGCTGGATTTGAACTCAGGTCCTCCTGAATCCAAGGCTGGTGCTCTATCCACTGAGCCACCTAGCTGCCCCTATTTTTAGCATTTTTAAAAAATCTTGAGTTCCAAATACTCTCTCCCTCAAGCCCCTCCCATACCCATTGAGAAGGTAAGAAATATGTCAACTATATTTTTCAGTTACCTTACTTTTCTTCAGTTTTCAACTTTGATTTCAACTGGTAATCAACCCCTAAGACATTCTAATATGCAGCTGCTCTGACTCTCCCACTCTATGCCACTCAGGGTGGGAGCAAAGTCCTCTGGAGAGGCCCTCCTCTCCTTTCCTTACTCTACTTCTATCTCCTTCCTTCCCTCTCTATTCCCATTCCCAGCCTTCCTCTCCCAACCTTCCTTAAGTTTCCCTAAGCTTCCTACATTGCTTGTTGTTACTCACTTTTCCCCTCAAATTAAGATATTCTTGCAATGAGGAAACTTCAACTCACCTCATGTGGTGCCACCTTCAATGTCTCCAGGGCAAACTTATAAATCTCTGGGTCTGGCTTTGCCATTCCAATTCGGCATGATTCTATCATTAGATCAAAGTGTTTGCGTAGGGTACATCCTAACTGGGCAACAGTATCCCTCTGGGGGCTATCATCCAACCAGCTGTTGGTAAGGATGCAGGTTTTATATCCTAAGAGAGAAAAAAAATACACACAGGAAATGATTGTCACCACTGCTTTTCTTTGAAAAGATCAAAACCACCTATAGGGATGCCATCTGATTTACAAGAAAAGAACCAAATTGACATGCATTGAGACAGCAAATCTAGCCTTTTCTCTACCACAATTTCCTTTCTGTGACTCTGTTTCCAGATCTTCAGTTCTCATAACTACAATCTAGGTTTGAAAATGGCCTCATGATAATCTAGAATTCTTTCCCCTAGTCTCCTCCTAAGTCACAGGTATGAAAATGAGTTAAATCTCCTCATTATGTGTTTAAGTGAAATACATTACACTCTATCATAACCACCAGTTATCAAAATTCCCTATAACCCTTGTTCTAGAATTCAAGGATTGTTTCTCTCATTTTGTAGCTGGGGAAACTGAGACATAAGTATATTATTTCCTGGATGTGTGTACCCAACAAAGCCAGTCAGTTCTTGAAGAGGAAAACAAGGAATGCCATGATTTTGGTATTGTTCTGAGTGAGAAAATAAGGAAGTGGAATGGTATATTCATGGCCTGCCTCCCAAAAGGTAGTGGAGTGGTTTCAGGCTTCCATACATCTACATGCAAGAGCATTCTATCTTATCTCATCCCATATCAATAAATGAATTCAAGTCTCACAACTCACAAGCAGAAATCTCAAACATGAAATTCGAAGTTGGTGTAGTAAATCAAATGCTTGAATATTGAGTCAGGAAGACCGAGGTTCAAATCTCACTTCTGACACTGATACTTATTATCTGTGTGACCAAGTCATTTAATCTCTCTGAGCTTTGGGAAATTGTGGGACAATGAACTAATATGCAAGTTTTGATACACATCAGTGGAGGGAGTTGCTACATGGATGAAATCATCATTTTTTGGCATATCAATGTTATTTTCTGCATTTACTGTTAAGGGTCAGTATGGTCCATACCCTGCTTCTGGAGCTTCCTCAAATCTTTGATTGATTATATCAAGAAGCATTTTGTTCCATTTTGCACTAAATGCCTCTAAGTATTTATGGTGACCCTCAGACAGAAAGTGTTAAAGCATTTGACTCTTACCCTTATTTCTCAAAGTGATGGCAGCCTGAAGGATAGGGTAATTGATCTTTGCTTTTGAAAATATATCTTCAAAGATTCTCTGTATAGAGAATTTCTCTGGGAGGCAGAAATTAGAGGCTGCAGAAAGCTTCCTACAATCTTCTTCCATGAGAGGAATCCACTATAAAAATAAATAGATAAGCCAATGCTGGAGAGGAAAAACAGGCACACTAATATATCCACTTGTGGAGAACTGGTCTAACCATTCTGGAATACAACTAACATATTTATACTCTTCAACCCAGCAATCCCACTATTGAGTATTTATCCCAGGGAAGTCTTACCTGTGAAAATGTGATCTCTCCTCTCATGAGGCGCTGGTAAAGGCTATCAAGGCCTCCTTGAGCAATGACTTCGTTTAAAAAGCCCCTAGGAGTTTTAAGTGAACAATAAACAAACAACAAAAAAAGACAAATTAATATTTAGAATGTTAAAGTCATAGCTAGTTCATCCTGTTGGATAGTGAGCATGGCATAATAGAAATAGTACTGTGCCAGAAGTTCAGGACACCTGGTTTCTAATGCCCGCCCTTTCAAAAACTCATTGTATGGACAAAGAGTGAGTCATTTCTTCTCTCTCTGCCTTAGTTTCCTCCATTAAATTAAATTGAACAGACATTCATCAAGTGCCTACTGTGTGCCAAGCACTGTGGTAGACATTGAAAATCTAAAAGATTATACCACACTGACTCCAGCTACATTTTGAAAGAGTTTTAAAAAGATTCACAGAAACAGAGATTTAGAACTGGAGAAGTCGTTTTATGTCCTTGTCTAACAGAGGTTAAGGGACATGACCCTGGGCATGTTGGCCTTAATCCATTGTAAAAGAAAATGGCAAACCACTCCAAATGCATCTCTAATGTCAAATTATTTTCTTAAAAGAAAAATAACACCAATATGCCAAGAACCTATGATTTTGTCCATATGGGAATTCCCTCCGCTGATGGAGCTCGTAATCTTTCTCTAGTTTGTAGTCTTTGAGTTGTCTAAGGCTCAGAGAAATGAAATGACGGAGATAATAAGAGTTCCCAGCTCCCAGGGTTGTTGTGAGGATAAAATGAGATATTTTTGTAAACTGCTTTGCAAACCTTAACGTGCTATCTGAATCCTAGTTCTTATTCTTCGTAAATTTTTTATGTATCAGTTTTATCACTGGGAAATTGCGTGTAACAATTTTGTCTGTGATAATGCTCCAGTTTCAATATGGTTTATTTGTTGAACTCTCTGGGATATTTTGAAATCTGTATTCGTAGTACAGGGTTTTGAATGCCAAACAAAGTATTTTTCGTTTGATCCTGGAGGTGAATGGGAACCACTGGAATTTACTGAGTAGGAGGTGATACAGTCAAACCTTTTAATACATGATACTGACCGCCAGGTTGCACCTTGCTAAGTATTAATTTAATGCTAATTTTTTGCTAAATGCTACGATATGTTACACAGTTGCTATCATTTTCTTCACATAATCTGAATTGATCAATAAATCCAGGCCCTTTGAAGATAACCTTTCTGTACTTTAAGGTGGAGATTATTTGTTCTTAAATTGCTATGATAAGCCCTCCTATAAACAAATCCACAAGATTCAGACATTGCTTTGTCACTACTTTGTCAGCATATCACTGCTTGGGTTCATGTGGACGTTGGCTTCTGAGACCTTCGCAATTCCATTCTTGGATTTTGACCCATTCTTAGGTGCCATCTGAAGGTCAGCCAGACTCAGTCACATTCCATATGTCTGGTGGCATGTATTTAATACCAAGCTTTTATTTTTGTTCTCTGAGGTGATGTACCTTTGGTCCAGAAATATGACTAGAAGTCTCTAACTTGTTTATTGTGTAACAGGAAAATGAATAAATGAAAAAAGCATTTATTAAGCATTTGCTATATAGAGAGACAGGGGAGTCTTCTAGTTAACAACTAGCTAGCTACACAATCTTCCTAAAGCTGCTGCACAAATGATTAAAGCCCTCCAACTCTGAACAGAAGTCCATGGGAAACACTGATTCTTCCTCCCCACCTTGGGCTGGGCTACTTTTCTAGGCAGTCATGTGGAAAGACACTCTAAGGATTCCCCAGGAAAAAGTGACCAGTCTTACATGGGCTTTCCTTGGTTTGCCTCTGTTCTTTTCATACCAGGTTCATAAAGAGAAAAAAATCTAGGGTTTGAATAATCTTTTGTACATCACTAATAAAATTGCATGGGTTCTCTCTCTCCTTCTCTCTATGTCTCTCTTTTTTTTTGTCTCTGTCTCTCTTTTTGTCTACCTCTGTCTATCTCTGTCTCTATCCCTCTGTCTCTCTTTCTCTGTCTGTCTCTTTATTTCTCTTGCCCTTGACCCCAAGCTTCCACTAAGAGGGCAATAGTTATCTCCTGTCCTTTTATGGGATTCCACCACAACATAATAGATTTCACCCAGCCTCAACTCAAAGAACTCTAAGGACGAAGAATCCACAGCCTCGTGAGGTAGCTCATTCTACTTGGAGATATCCCTAATTGTTAGAGGCTTTTCCCGATACCAAACCTAAATTTGCCTCTTTGCAACTTCCACCCAATATTCCCGGCTCTTTCCTCTGGGCTAAAGAGAACAAATCTAATCCCTGTCCAACACGACAGTCCTTCACATACTAGAACACAACTATCATGCCTTGCCCCCTCACTCAAGCCTTCTCTTCCTAGGCTAAACACTCCAAGTTCTGTCAATTGATTCTCAAAGAAAACAGCAAAGATCCCTAGGTTCTCCACTGGAGAAATCCTGATATGTTAACATTGAACCATTAACAACTATAATTTGAGTCTGGTTTACACAACCATCTCTAAATTCATATTATCATCACCATAACCATATTATCACCTAATTTATCTTCTTCATAAGAATAGTATATTTTACCAAAAGCCTCGATGAAATCTAGAGAAATGATAATCAGAGCATTCCCCTCATCTATAGTTTAATAATCCTGTTAGAGAAGGAAATAAAGTTAGTCTGTAATGATCTGTTCTTGATGAAGCCATAGTGGTTCTCCGTAACTGCCATTTCTCCATCTAGATGTTTGTCACTTTCTCTAGAGTTTTCTCAGGATTCAAAGTCAAGCTTATTGGCTAGAGTTTGCAGATTCTGTTCTCTTTACTTTTTTTTTTTTTGCAGAAGGTTAGAGGGGTCCTGAATTGAACATTTGCTCTTCTCTAATCTTGTGGTACCTCTTCTGTTTTCCATGATTTTTCATACATGACTAATAATGGCTCGGCATTCACATCTTTTGTTGTTGTTGTACAATTGTCTCCCCCTCTTCGTGACCCCATTCAGGGTTTTCTTGGCAAGGATACTTGAATGGTTTGCCATTTCCTTCTCCAGCTCATTTTACAGATGAGGAAATTGAGGCAAACAGGGTTAAGTGACTTGCCCAGGGTCACACAGCTAGCAATCTGAGGCCAGATTTGAACTCATGAAGATGAGTCTTCCTGATTCCATGCCCAATGTTCTATCCCAGGGATGGGGAACCTGTGGCCTTGAGAATACAGGTGGCCTTTTAGATCCTTAAGTGCGGCCTTTTGACTGAATCCAAATTTTACAGGGCTTTTATTAAAAGGATTTGTTCTGTAAAATCTGGATTCAGTTGAAAGGCTCACTTAAGATCTAGAAGGCCATCTGTAGCCTCAAGACAGCAGGTTCCCCACTCCTGCTCTATCCATTGCACCACCTGGCTGCAATCACATCTACCAGTTCTTATAGGACCCGAGGAAATAGTTCACTTGCGGCAGGTGACTTGAATTCATTCATTCAGCGTAGCTAAGTACTGTCTTACTATCTCCTTATTTATCTTGGGTATCAACTCCCTCTTATTAATTCTTGTTCTGTCATTTCCAGTATAAAGACCATTCTCCCTTGTAGAGAAAACAGGAAGAAAATTGGACTTGAAACTCTGCTGTCTCTGTTGTCAGTTATCGTCATCACATTCACCCCAAGCAGAGATACTATGCCCCTTGCCCATGCCTTCAGTAACTAGGTAGGATCAAGGCTGATGGCCTTCAAGTTTTTATAGCAACATTTCAAATAGCTTAGACATGAAATTAAATAGTTAAGGAAATCCAAACTCCCCTCCTCCACCGTCCTCCCCCTCTCCAGCCCCTCCCCTCTTCATCCCCCTCCTCCCTCCCCCCCATTGACTTTTTTCTTGGAAACTTATTTACGATCAAGAGCAAGAATCTGATCACCTGAGTTAACACATTTCCATGGTAATTAATATATTTAGAGTGGAATGGTGAGTCTCAGCTGGGTCTTATTTATTATTATTATTATTCACTATAACTAGACCCACCTCCAAGGTTACCCAACCTTTATTCTGTGATGAATTTGATGGCAATGAATCAATGTCCCTCTCCGCACTCCAAATCTCTTGCTCCCCTCTTTAGCTGTGACTTGTGGTCGTAGACTCTAGAAAAGGCCGACACTCTCACTTCCCTGTATCCTAGTGGATACTGCTGGGTTTACTGGCCACCCAGTCAGGAAGTTGATGCCTACAGCTACTCCTTTTTTTTTTTTTTAAATCGCAATTGGGGTTAAGGGACTTGCCCAGGGTCACACAGCTAATAATTGTCAAGTGTTTGGTCTGAGGCTGGATTTGAACTCAGGTCCTCCTGATTTCAAAGCTGGTGCTCTATCTACTGCACCACCTAGCTGCCCCTTATAGCTACTCCTAAGGAAATTCTGTGGCTCATGGATCCAAAAGTCTGTCTCAAAACTGGCTTAATGCTACTCTGATTAATCCTGTGTGGCAACTTCTTCAGATGTCAGAACCTGGCCTCAAGTCACAACAGTCAGTCAGTAAATCAGAATTTATTAAACATCTACTATATACCACGTGCCATGCGAAGCACTGGTCACAACCAGTGGTACTTTTGTGTTCACGAAGTCATAGGATTAAATGCAAAAGGGAAGATTTCCCCAGTGGCCACAGACTATTTTCAAATATCTGGACAGCTGACCTTGAATACACTTTTTTCAAACTGACTTCTTTAATAATGGTAACACAGTCAACGGTCCCCAAAACAAACAAACAAACAAACAAAACAGAATTCTAGACCCATGAATACAACTAAGAATTAAATCCCATTTATCTTATTAAGGATATTTTATCAAAGATTTCTAAATGTCAGTTACGCAGTTGGTTGGTAGTCGTCCTTCGTTATCAAAGAGGACTAAACTGACATCACTATATTAGGGTCAAGGTACAATGTGTCCAACTGTGGTTGATTAGACCAATAAGAGCTCAGAAGGTCCCACCACTGGGAGGTCACAAATAATCCATATAATTACAGAATTATGCAGTTGATACATGACTGCACAGGTTGATTTCTTAATTACGTATATTTAGAAACACAGTACTTCACCAGTTCAAAACTCTGTAGTCTAATATTCTAATATGGAGCTGTTTGAAGGTGTACATGGTAAACAGGCTTGTTGCTGACACATTTGATTGGTGCCTCAGTGATCGGCTCATTCAGGATAGGAACTCCTTATCTTTGTCCTTAAACCCACTTCTATTCTTCATTCCTCTACTGCTATCAAGGTTACTCCAACCTTCCAGTTACCCACAGTCTTCCTAGACTCTTCACTCTCCCTCATCACCCATGTTCAATCAGCTGCCAAGTCTTGTCAGTTCTACAACCACAACATCTTTTGTCCCCTTCTCTCTATTCACAAGGCCCTAGTTTGGGCCCCCATCACCTCCTGCCTGGCCCTTAGCAGTAGCTTTCTAATTGGTCTCCTTGACTCTGGTCCAGAGGTGGGGAACCTGTGGCCTTCTAGGTCCTTAAGTGCAGTCTTTTGACTGAATCCAAATTTTACAGAACAAATTTTATTTTATTAAAAAAATTTATTAATTAAATTATTTAAATAGACACATTGTTAAATTAATAAATTTATTAATAAACAATAATATTTAATAAATAAGCAGTAAATAAATAATAAAAATCCTTTTATTAAAAGAATTTGTTCTGTAAAATCTGGATTCAGGCAAAAGACTGCATTTAAGGACCTAGAAGGCCACATGTAGCCTTAAGGCCACAGGTTCCCCACCCCTGCTCTAGTGTCTCCTCTCTCCAATCTGTCTTCTACATAGCTGTCAAAATAATTTTCCTAAATTCCAACGGCTAACATCTTTCCCCATGAATTACCTTGTATTTATTTGGTACGTATTTTGTATATGTAGCAGTTACATACATACATGCTGTCTCCTCATATAGAATATAAGCTCCTTGAAGGCAGGGACTATTTCATTCTTATTTTTGTACTCATAGCCTAGCATAATTCTTGGCACATACTAGGTATTTAATTAATGCCTGTTGTGAATGTTCAAGGTGTGTTGTAGTTGGCAAAAATCTTGTTTTTCTAGCCTACTCTTTCTCTAAGAGGTTATCTTTTTCCCAGTCATGCCCCCATTCCTGCCTGCTAACCATTTTTTTCTTTACCTGTCTGCTCTCTGGACCCTCCCTTTCTCTGGAAACTTTTACACTTGGAACATTCCATGTTCAAAATTTTCAGTTTTCCAGATGTCTGAAAGTTACCTTCCTGTGATATCTGGGGCAGTAAAACCCACCATTCCTCAAAGGTCAGCAAACAAAGCCAAGGAAACAGCCCTTCCTATTGCTAGGGAGATGCTAGTCTCAATCCTATTGGAAGGGAGACCAGTGTGCTATCCTAGTTTGGAAGCATTAGGGATCCTTGAGCTGCCCCTTGCCTTCTTGGATGTCTCCAATTAAGCTCATTGGTTTCTCTTTCAAGCCCTTCCTTAAACATGCTAAATTAATGGGCCTATGGTTTGCAGCATTAACCAGCTCATTTGATTCTTCTACAAAGCCCCTAACAAGGCTCCTACTCTCTCTAGAGGCTGTCAGCCTCTGTTACTATGGTAAATGCCACTTCAACAGCCAGAACCCCAGGGATACCCCTAAGAACAACTATATGTGTAACTCCACTGCTGTTTAGCAGAGAGCTAATAAGGTCAAGGTCATGAACAATTCTCCCTGGGGATTACTGAGCTTTGCTCTGCTTTATCAAGTGATGGCAGACATCTGTAATTTTAAACTAAGCCAGAAAAGCCCTTAGTTACAAGGGTACTTGGTGAGTTAGGGCAACAGTGGAAACACAAGTTAAAATGCATGCCCACCTAATGATGAATTGGTGATCGTGACTTTCATGAAGTGCAGATACTGCAAAGATCACTGGTCTTGCGGCACATATAAAGGAGGGTAAGTGGGATGGAGAAGGGATTGAAAACTGCCCCTATAGGGAGCCTCGTTGAAGGAAGTAGGGATGCAGAATAGAAGGTTGGATGGGGGGAGTGGTGACACATGTACACAATTGCCATCCTTGGGTATCTGAAGGACTGTCATATCCAAGAGGGAATAGACGTGTTTTTCTTGACCCCAAAGCTAGGTGGCACAGTAGATAAAGTGCTAGGACTGGCATCAAGAAGACTCATCTTCCCAAGTTCAAATCTGACCTCGGACACTTACTAACTGTGTGACCATAGACAAGTCACTTAACCCTGTTTGCCTCAGTATCCTCAACTGTAAAATGGCAAACCACTCCAGTATCTTTGCCAAGAAAACCCCAAATGGGGTGTCAGAGAGCCGGACATGATTGAAAAATGACTGAGCACACAGGGCAGAACTCCGTGTGAGGAAGGCACCCAAGCCACCATCTCTTCATTTCTGACCCAGCTGCCATACCCTAGATTTAATCATGCCCATCAGGTATCCCATCTTCCTGCAAGATCACATCAATCCTAGAACTCACACCTCATCTGTACCCCCTTCCCCCCTCTCATTGGAGTGGGTGGAGGGCAGAGTGCTTCTCCAAGATCCTTCATTTATGGAGCACACCCACGCCACTCATCTGGACTTCATCAAGCTCCAGTACTGGGTGTGCTCTATGTCCCCCCTCCCCCTTTTAGCTTCTTTTTATATATTATGTCCTTCATTAGACTGTAAGCTCCTCAAAGTCAGGGACTGTTTGCCTCTTTGTATGCCCAGCCCTTAGGAACTTAATAAAATGCTTACTGACTAATGTAAAGATTTGAGGACTCAGAGTGACACCCCAGTTTAAGTCTCAGCTGTGCCACTTACTAACTGTGGAGCTTTGGGCACGTCATTTCACCACTCTCCTAGCCACAATTTACTCACTTGTAAAACAAAGAAGTTGAATAGATTGGGGAAGGATAAACACCTTGTAGAGCATGAATGGAAAAGAATATTATGGTGCTGTAAAAAATGATTAAGGATTTGGGAAAACACAGGAAGACGTATTAACTGATATAGAATGAAGTGAACCCAGGAAAATAATGCACACTAGGACTACAACAATGTAAATGGAAAGATCAACAACATCGAAACCTAGTATTATGTGATCACCAAACTCTGCCCCAAAGAAAAGATATAAGGCACTTCCTCCGTTCTTTGCAGATGTGAAAGTTTATGTGTAGAATACTATATATGATGGTGGATCATTTTTGACATGTTGATTTTTGTTTTGCTGAAGTTCCTCCTTTTTTGCCCTTTTTGGGGGAGTAGGGGGACCCCACACATATTTATTAAGCATCTACTATATGCCAGGCATTGTGCTATGTACTTTACAAATATTATCTCATTTGTTAGAAGGGATAATAATACTATTTATATAGTACTTTAAAATTTGCAAAGCACTTTACAAATATTACCTCATTTTATCCTCACAACAACCTTAGGAGGTAGGTGATATTATTATTCCCATTTTATAGGTGAAGAAATTGAGGCAGACAGAAGTTAAGAGATCTGCCCAGAGTCACACAGCTACTAAGTATCTGAGACCAAACTTGAACTCAGGTCTTCCTGATTCCAGGTCCTGTGTTCTATCTGCTGCAGGACTGGACTATCTCTTGTCCTGTAAAGATCAGCTGAAGGAACTAGGGATAGCTTAGCCTGGAGAAGAGAAGGCTCAGGGGCAATCTTCAAGTATTTGAAAGAATGCCATATGAAAGAGGAATTAGACTTATTTGGCAATCGGTAGAAGTTCCAAAGAGGTAAAGGTAGTATTGATGTCAGGAAAAATTTCCTAATAATTAAGAGCTATTCAAAAGGGGAAAGCTGCTGAGATAGATGGTATGTTTCTCACTGTCTGGTATGTTATCTAGTAGGGATATTTTCCCCGTATGTGTTGGACTGGACCTAACTGAAGTTCCTTCCAACGTTCAAATCCAGGAATTCTAGAAGCAGAATTTACAAGTATTCCAACCCTTTATCCTCACCAAATGGGGTGGCCTGAACTTAGTAGTTACTTTATAATCAATAATTCAATCAACAAACATTTATTAAGGCCTTACCCTGTGCCAAGCACTGTGTTAAGCACTGGAGATACAAAAATAAAAAGTGAAATAGTCCCTGCTCTCAAGAAGTTGACATTCTAGCAGGGGATATATCTCATACAAAATAAATACAACTTAATGGGGGGGAGGGGGCGGGACACTAGAAGCTAGGAGGGCCAAGAAAGAATTCCTGTAGGAAGGTCGGTTTGAGTTGAACTTGGAAGGAAAGGAAGGGATATTGAGAGTTGAGAAGCCAATGTATTCTGGTCATCGTCAACGTGGGCAAAGGCACGTTTGGAGAGGGCAGTTGCAATGTGTGAAGAATTGTATGACCAGTTTGTTTTCATTTATTGAGTAGTTTTAGGTTCCCTGTCCTTAATCTAAAACAAAGAGGAGTTTGTATTTTAAAATCTAGCTTTTAACAAAGCAAAGTTCTTATAAGTATAATTTAACTTAGAGGTGGCTGTCCACTGATTTGTGTTTCAGAGGCGGGGCCTTTAAGGCAGAAACAAGAGAGCCATGCCCTTGCTAGACTATTTGGCAAAGTGGCAGTTCACGGCGCACGGCGCAGACTCCAGCGTAGTCGGGAGCGCGCGCGCGGGGCTCCATAGGGCAGCCGGCCGCCCAGCGCGAGCGAGCCAGCGAGCGAACCGGCCGTCCACTCCCTACCTGGGCAGGGTCAAGGCTTCCTCGGCCTGGCCGAAGATGACGTTCGGGGAGGGATGCACCAGCACTCCGCCGAGGTCGAACAGAGCGGCGCGGAGCCCCATCGCTGCCGCCATTCCGAGCGCGGAGCTTCTGCGTTGGGCACGGCTCCCGCCTCCTCCTCCTCCGCCTCGCTGCCCGCACTCCCTCCCTGGGGCTGTCCACTCTTACTTAGGCCTTTGCTCCAGCTCCGCCCCTTGGAGCCCAGCAGTCTTGGCGAGGCCAACTCCCTGCTCTTTCCCCTATTTTAAGGGAAAACTTTAATCAGCTGCTCTAGCGGGCTTTCCTTTCCCAGCACAAGCTGGTTTACTAAAGTCCTTAATTTTTTTTTTACTTTTTTTTTTAATAAAAATTGTTATTATAATTTATCTTACTTTGCGATTTTTTTTTAAAGACAGTTTTGGAAAGCCTTTTTTTTTTTTTGCATGTGAAAACAATTTTTTTTTTAACGTGTTTTTAAAACTTTGGGTTACAAATTTTCTCCCTTCCTCCCTCCC